TGCGCTCTCCTCAGATTGCGAATGACCAGTTGCCTCGGGGAGATGCTGTATTTCCTGCGAAGTCTCACGCGCTCCCTAAGGAATCTCGACGAGCCGATGGTGGTTTTCCGAAGGTACGTAGCCCTCTCTCAACGCTTAATTTAACTAGGACTTAGCCATATTTTCTGACTACGCCAACGTATATATGTAGATGCCATCTGACAATTTCTATTTTGCATCTTTCGACATGGAGCTTTGTCGAGTCACTGATTCCTGCTTGACGCTCGGCTGGTTGGGACTAACTACCACCAGTTCAGATTACCACCCCCTAAAGTCCGTACACTCGCCACCACCCCCAAAGTGACTCAAGGGGAAGAAGTATAGATATGAGCTACTGAGAAATGTTATTTATTTTCGGTTTCATACAAAGTCTTGTTTAACGGATGTCCTCTTTTTGCGTGTACGGGCTTGGCGGTTCTCGGCTTCAGCGTCCTTGCTGGAAGCCGAAGTTTATTATCAGACAGCAAAGGCCCAGAGATACTTGTCATCTGGTATAGCACATCCCGTTTCCTTCTTCTCCTTTGTGGGAGATGCCTATGGTATGCATTAGCAAACGTCTCTCACCGGGCTCGCGACTTTCCCTTCACCAGTTTAAGGCCATTCCTTGCATCTTAAGCAAAATTCAATAAAGGGTCGAGGGATTACCCGGAGGTCTGTGCGAGGCTATTAACTTGGATTGATCTTTGACTGCCTAAGTAGAACGTTGAGCTCAGATGTTTCGTGAAGTGCTCTGGGATGCACGGTGCCGTGCCTCTTCATCTCCATCGCTGCCCGAGTTGCGATCACTTCACTTACAGCACATGCGCGCGATAACTAGGTTTGCTTAACGACGCTTCGACATTCAGGTGGCAGCTAAGCGGACCGCGGTAGATCGATGCCTTGAGGCCTAACCTTGCCTATTAGGCTCATCCTCACTCCGCACGAGCTTGATTTCTTCCAATTGCTTCTTATGAGACCCAGGAGTAGCACCAGCTCCGAAGAGAGCTTCCATAGAGGGAAAGAGCGGAGACTTTGCCAGGTAATTCTTCAGATGACGAAAGATACGGGATCAGCAAGCCTATACTGCCTTTATCTGATAATGGACGTTGAAATCCTTTGAAAGCCAGAAAGCTTGACCGACGACGGAGTATGAGACCGTTGCTGCGAAGACATTAGCACAACGCAGGAAGCTCATCAGAAGCTGAGCTGACTGGCAAGCTTATGCAATGAGAAGCTGTCTAAGCTTAATCAGCAATTTATTGGCCATGCGCTGGATGTATGACTTTTATTTGCCAGAATTGTTTGACTTTGATCTCTTTAGTGAACTGGTTTCTTGCTCCTTTGATCTTTTAATATGATTCCTCATTCCGTTTGAAATGATTGACCATTAATCTTTAGCATTTTTGCGCATAAACCCTCAGCCCACTCAAGCGGCGTTTGCTTATAAGCCTTTATCCGAGACTTACCGCCTTTGCCAGTCGCGCTAGCATGCGGCATTATCTAAATCCGTTCCGCCATGTAACGTTGTGCTAGAGAGTAAATCTCTGCAGCTTGAGACTTTGTGCTATGATACTGAAAATACATAGACTTCGCCATTGTTTACGCACGGAATAGGCTACCCAGGCGACACGTGTTAGTGTTGTTAGACTTTAGGAATTTTTGGCTAACGACCCCTAGCCTTTTAACAGGTCTTGATTAGCCTTTACCGCGCACTATCCGTTTGAGTCGGGCTAGCATGCCGGAATTGTCTACAATCACCGTTACCGACATGTGACGTTATGCTAAAGCCGAATGAACTCCTTTAGACTTGATGCTACAACTATCGAATACGCTAGCGTCTTTTCGCCACTGTTATCGCGGAATAGGCCTATCCCAAGCAACGAGAACTCGTGTTTTAGACGCTGCACTATCCCTTATTTAGGCCCTTCGAGATAAAAATTTCCCCAGTAATCGAACTCTCGGATGGTCTTTTTCTTCGGTCAGAAAGACTAATAACCGCGGACGCGTGTTAGGCGTCGGCAATATCCCTTTTCTTAGGATTCAGGGATGAAATTAGGACCCCATGCCGAAGTAATCGTTGTAAGGCAATGGAAATTACTCGGTGTTATTAATAACAACCTGTCACAATGTTGAATATTGAACGTTGTATTACTTTTAACGGCTTAAAGCGCAACTAACCGGCTACCGCGAATTCAGGCGTTGACTTAATCCCTTTGCTTAGCGCTTTCAAGGATAGAATACCGCCAGAGTGAGACTCGAACTCTGGTGTGCTCTTTTTCTACGGAAAAAGACTAAACCGCAGCAACGGGTGTTAGGCCCGCAGAACTTACCCTTCTAGGGATTCGGGATAAACTTCCTAGGATTGAATCCGTAAATTCCGACAATGTTTGCGAAAAAGATTGGTGCGCGAAAGGAAAAGAATTGCAAATAATTCTATTTCCCCCGGTCTTCTTCTTAGGGCTAAAGGACAAAAGCCCGAATAACAAGGAAGGAAGAATTTTATATTTCTATTTCCTTGATTCGTGGAAAGCAAAAAGGAATTTTAATATTCTATTTTTCCAGTGCAATCAAGCAAACTAGCAGTGAGAGATTCTACTCCTAGAATCGGCGCAAAATCTTAGATAAACTATGCCTTTTATAGGTTCGGTTATCTAACTGAAAAAAGAGTTCTTCGTTTATTCGCAAGTGAAACTTCAAACCTAACGGTTATAGCCGATGAGCGCTTAACCAAGAGAGAGAAAGAAAGCGGAGTATCTTTTGCTTTATCGAAAGGCGTGACTCTGAACTGAAATCTGGACCTCTTGCTTCATTGGAAAGAGCTCAACCGAGCGTACCAGAAGAGACACTCTTTGGCCTGACTCCAACTGTCAGTTTGAAATTGATCAGTCGAGGATTTTAGATGGTAAAAAGAATAGATTTTGCGGCTTATCCTCTAGACATATTAAGCCTTAATATTCTTCAAGGAACTTCCCCGCCGCAAATGAGCTTATCCTGGAATGTACTACGGGATAGTACTTTTTAGGAACTTTCATTCATATTCGGCATTAATTGCCCTGTCGCACCTCCTTGAGTAATCAGACGATATGCCGCCGTTTGAGTAGACATGTGCTCTATCACATAACCGGCCCTTCCCACTTGGGTTTCGAATATTACCTTTCTTCTGGAGTTCTTGCAGCGATTACTCGCGTCGCGAGCAGCGTAGGGACCAGATCTACCTTCCTTTAGAAGCTTCTCTGTCGCGACTCTTTTTGTTAAAACGCCCCTAGCATATTCTGGCCTTTGATAAAACTCGATGTGTTGTTGAGCCTTCCAAGCATTATTTCATCCAAACCTCTCCGCAGTTCTTCGGGAGACGTTTATTGATGCTGTTCTTCGTGTCGTCATCTCGGTTGCACCGGGCAGAGCGATCGAATGGATGCGCCGATTTGGCATCCTTCAGTGGCTAGCCCACAGCTTCACATCCGGTATACCAGCGACGAATTACGGGGTGGCCCCCTGTTAGACCTGTGTGCGGTTATAGCGCTTGGGGTGCGCATAACAGCCCATAGTGCCTTCCACCAAGGGTTTATCGTCAAGTCTCGCTTTAGTTGGGTCTTCTACGAGCGTTGACAGAGATCCTTAATGATCATCTTGTTTTGAACGCCTCAGCTAATTCCATTCGCCCCAGCGCGGATATAAGCTTGTGCACGAAACATCTTTCCCAATTTTGAACTTGTCACAAAACCTGACGAACTGGCGGTTGCTTATCGAACTCGTGGACCATGCTCATGAAATGATCCGTCTTGGCCACGCGTCGTCGGTATATGCACATTGATGCTTTTAATTGGCATGAAATTGACTGCACGGTTGTTCTGTCATCTGCGGAGCGTCTCTACAGCGGAATCGCTTCAGAGCCCCACGTTTGAGAAATAATCTGGTGGCATAAGCGACGCGGATGCACAACTCGCCATCGCCTTCTGACTGTAAGGTGGGAAAAATAGCGATCGACAATGTCCATACCCCACTGTCTCGAAACGGGGCCAACTACGTGACGTTGGACGGTGCTGGAACTGCCTCTGGCGCGTTGATGCATGAATTTGCATGTATTTCGCACAACGCATGACACTCTCGCAGCGTATATCGATTGCGCTCACGAACCATTGTTGCGCCCAAAAAGCTATATCCCATTCTCCTGATGCGATCATACAGCTTCGGGACCAGCGTTGATGCCGCCCAACCCACATTCTCCTTCGTGTGTCTTCCTTAAGAACTTCTTCTGCTTCTTTGCTTCGCAAAGACATTCGAGAGTATACGAAGAGCCACGGATTCAGTAATATAAATTCTATCTGGAAAATCTGATCGGCGACCAATGGGATATATAGCCCTGAAAAATCCCTATTATTAAACTTGAGCTCTAACATCCATGGACCAGGATGGCAGATGTACAGTGGATACATAAACGCAGTTCTTAACCATTTCATGGCATGAAAAACACAGGAGACTCAACTTTCGGCTGCAGGTGCATTGTAGCACAGGCCCTATTTTTAGAAAACTTTGCTGCTGCAATTCTTATAGCATGCCCACTGTAACAAACCATCATACCCTCTACGCGGCCCCTCCCTATAAAATTGAAATCAACCATATTAAACTCGTTACCTTATGGAAGGGGTCTCCATAACCGCTGCAATAGAAGCTCATACAAACTCTATTTAGAGGAAGAACGAGAGGGAGGACCATGGCTGCGCGTCATTTGTGGCTGGCTGGATCAGTGAGAAACCTTGGTGCCGCCGAAGACGAGCGAGAACTCTTCAGAACGCGAAGCGGCGTCCTTTTGATTACACCTCTCTGGGTATAGTCCTCTGAGACGTAACAATCACACGATACTGACCGATAGCTTGCACTGACACACGGAAAGGAACAAGACCTCCGGGGAAAACCGCCGTGAACTCCAGACTCCGGACAAGGAGCTGGTGCGAAGCATCACCATTAATTGACTGAGATGTGCCTCCCAAGTTCACACCTCCTCTCCGTGCGTTTTTGATAAAAGCTTTACTAATGCGTTAGCCTCGTACAGTCCTGTCATTGTACTCTCATTCTTTGAATATTCCATATTCTG